CCGAAAGAAGTCAGGTTCGTCTCCTATTGAAAATGTACCTTTCTGAATGGCTGGAGACTGGAACTAGAATATATTCTTATACAAATGTATCTACATTCTAAATAAAAGAAAGGTATTGTGCGAAATCTAAAAAGATTCTTTGTATGAATACACGAAAAGAATCTCTTAGGGTTTAGTACGAAACTTACCCTATCAAACTTATCCAGAGACATGTCTGAAGAAGCAGCATCTCGAAATTAATCTTCTTTCGTCTCTCTTTAGGTTCTATCGATTTGACTTTCTTCAATTGTAATTCAATAAATAAATCAATTTTCTATCATTTTATTGTTGAGATTGTATAAAGAAAATTATCTGTTAGAATTTTTTCAATTGTATATAGAAATAATATATTTTATATTACAGTTTCAAACAAGTGCAACAAGTTCATCATCACAACAAGTATCAAGCAACATTAAACTTCAACAAAAGGAAACACAAAATAGTAATTGGCAAGAAAAATATTTTCTTCATGGAGAATCATCAAATATAGTCACAGATGTTGAGAATCAAATTCATGGTTGTGTTAATTCATCTGTTTCAGAAGATATTGATATATATATCCAATCTTCATGATATTAATATAACAGCTGATGAAATTCTTCGAGAACGTTTAACACAGATTTCATCTATGGAAAAAACAATTATTCATCGAATTATTCAAGAACGACAAGATATTATTAATAGAATTATAATAAAAGGTCATTCAAATATGAATCAATGTGAAAAATATTATCGAAAAATAATAGAAGAATTTATTAAAAAGTTAGAAATAGAAATGTCAATACATTTAGATGATTTACAAAAACAAATGGAAAATGAAAAAGATATTGTTTTTGCAACTTCACATAATAATATTAAAGATATAACAATAAAAGCACAAAATGCTAAAAAAGATTTTCTTAGAATTATTCAATCATTTGCTGAAATAAAACGTCAAGAAATAATAAAGAAAATTATTAATATTTCTATAGATAAAACACGTCAACCACTTGGTTATGAACAATTAAGAACACTTAATCTGCAAATATATTCTAGGGTTGGAATTAAAGAAGATGAACATGGTTGTGATAATATATCGGAAAGAAATAAATTTATTAAAGATATTAATCATGCTAAATCACATCAACCAATTAAAAGAACTGTTTATCTTGGAAGTAATTTTAATTCAACACTCAAATAGGAACAATCAATTTATACAAATACTTAAATTATATTTTCATTATTTAAAATCTTTTTTTTATTTGAGAAAAATATCTTTTACATATAATTATTTCTCACTTTTATTAAGGGATCGAAATAAACAAACACTAATTCATGACATATACTGAAAATTTTCCTTCAATATCAGATAAAATAAAATGATCAATAACCTACGATGCAGAAGTAATTGCGGAAATGTCAAGACATTGTTCTTCGCTTAGGAACATCGTAGAAAGTTAAATTTTTTTTTTTTATTAGAAAGAGCAACATCTGAACTACAAAGTTTGTACCAGCCATATTTTTCCAAAAGGTATATGAGAAGAGATCAAAGTTCAAAACCAAACACCTCTAAAAAAGTCCTTGCAACTTTCTTGAAGCTTGGAAAATGTGGATTTCTAGACGATTTGTTTTGCAGTATTCGCTCGGAATATATCGAATTTGAGGATTTTAACAGAAAAGAACAGTTCAATAAGTATTTTCTACCGCCATAACATGGACAGATAATGAGAACAACCAAATTATTCAGTCTCTTCCAGAAGAAGCAATGTATTCTTCTTAAAATCAGAAGCAAATTTAACATTTAATGTACGATTGGAAAGAGCGCCTCTTATGCTACAAAAATTACCATTAAAAGTATTTTTTTCTTCTTATTCTGGTATTAAAAAAAATTAATAGAAATTAAAAGAATGACGTTGCTCTCTGATCAAGTTGCAAGGACTTTTTTTAGAGGTGTTTGGTTTTGGGCTTTTATCTCTTCTCATATACCTTTGGGAAAAATATGGCTGGTACAAAATTTGTAGTTCCGATGTTGTTCTTTCTAATAAAAAAAAAATTTAATTTTCTACGATGTTCCTAAGCGAAGAACAATGTCTCGACATTTCCGCAATTACTTTTGCGTCGCAGGCAGGTTAATAACAAATTAGAAAAAGTTAATTAGATTATACGATCCTTTTCTTTTTCTTTGTTGTCTTTTTTAGATAATACTCAATGCTAAACTGGCTTCTTAATTCATCTATCTGCATTGAAAAATGCACGATTTATATAGAAGAGAAGTATAGGCCAGTTGTACTACGATTCCATATCATTAAAATCGAATAAAAATGCGAGTGAAAGTGAATGCAGAACTCTATGATGAATTGAGTAGCTCTAGATATCTTCGTATAATTATAATTACTAATGCAAAATGTTACCTGTTGAGATCAATTATGTAATGATCTGCTACAACCAACACTCCGAAATAGTGGTCCAGAGATAAATGGTTCGGAGTGAATTACAATTGAAACTAAGCCCATAACATTGCTATGATCTACTAAATTTATATTTAAAATTTCCCATTTGTTTCCGTTTGTATCTATTCGATTTGTTATGATAAATTGAAATTCTTAGTTTAATCTTTGTAATAAAGATTCATTATTGTTTACAAAAAAATTCGTTGATACATAAGCACATTCTTTCAGATATCTAATTTGTTTTAGATGAAACCATCTTTAATTTAACCCTTGCAGTACCGGCCGGGATCATTTCTGACCCCAACCTAAAAAATATACAAATATGCTAAAAATATTGTTTTTTTCTCAGCTTTTTTAAGCTATTAGCATCGCTTAAGAGTAGATCTATGTCGTTTCATCTAAAAGGGGATATACTTATTTTCCATATCGATTCAACCCCCTGATACAAAACTATGTCTTCAGTATCTATCAAATATATGAGAGAAAGGAAAAAAAAATTCAAAAGATATTCTAATGATTCATTTACTTATCTGAATGGGTATAAATTTTCGATTTTTTGAAAGGATTTTTGAATGGTTTATAGCTATCCAATCATAAAGGAAAATGACTTATATCGTTGTAGATTAAATATACGATTTACCTTCTTTTTCTATATAAAAGTTTTTTCTCAAACAATCTGCATCTAACTGTGTGTCGTATTGCAATTACGAATATGACCAG